AAAAAAAAAAAAAATAAAAAAAAAAATGCTAGAAGTAGGTTCACTTGAAGAATCAAATACATATTGCTAAGGTATATCACATAAATTGTACAGAAGTGCAATTCACAGATTACATATGGGTTGAACTATGTCAATAAATAGGACTTTACAGTAAAAGGAACACTGAATCTGTGTCTTATGTTCTAAAACATATGTAAAAGTACATAAGGAAAATGAAATTTTCTGGTTTTGAGGAACTCCCTAATGTGCAATGCACATCTCATTAGCAGTGCAAGTTAGACTTTAATATAAAATTACAACTCAAATGTTACCTGGGCAATGTTATTGAGCGATAGATCTTTCAGAGACGCTCCACGAACATCAAGATACGCAGCAATAGCTACATCACTATCAAAACATAAGAAAAAAAGGAAATATAACTGTCAGTTTCAATTCTGAGAAAACCCAATATTTTAGCAAAGGCATAAACAAAACTCGTGCCGAAAACCCAATATTTTACCAAGGTATACACCTCCAAGAATATGAAAAAAAAAATGACCTAAAGATTCCGAAAATATCGTGCCTGTTTCTTAATCATTCTTATTTCTTAATGAATCTCTTTTACCTCCATTTTATCTAGTCATTGAATTGGAAAAGGACCATACTGCAATTCTTAAGTGTCCAACAGAGGCAAATTATCAACTTCCATTATATGTGAAAATCATCAACTTCCATTATATTAATAAGATTCTTACCATACAGCTAAAATACCCCCACCGCTATCTATCCATACCTCTATAAACCATGACAGGAACAACGGAACAGAACAAAATAGAATATAAATTAAATTGTAATTATTTACAAAGACATGACAAAAAAAGAAATCAAATAACATCAGAAGCAAAAAAATTGAGGATCCTATCTCCATAAGCATAGCATTGAACTTTGGCAAAAGTTTACTGCAAGTCGGAACAAAATAATCATGATTTAAACAATTTGATACCTCATACCTGAATCCATTACGACAAAATTTTAGTATCTCAATTGTTTGGCAACCATTTGCAAGATGAGCAATGGAAGCATCGGTCAATTTACGCAAATTCGACAGGTCTATTGCTCGCAATTCAGAACAAATATTACCAATGACTTCCAAAGAAAAATCAGTCAACTCCCTGTAAACAGGACAAGCATAAAGTCAGTAGGCTGAGGAATATAACAGAGTACCTGAATTGCATGCATATCAAGGTGATCACCCAAACACTCACAGGCAGTCTGCTAAGACAAGTTCTTTCATTCTGCAACCACTGACCGTGATGAATTTACTGACAAAATCATCACAAACAGTCTGAATTCCAGCTAGCGATAGAACTTCTAGGCACTCTAGCTTTAGCAGTGCTGGAAGAATAAGCATAGCATCTATGCCATGACAATTGTCCAGGTACAACTCCCTTAGAACTGATCTTAGTGAGCTTAACAGACAGCAGATTCCCTCAGAGGTCAGCAAAGGACATTGGCTGATGTCAATTGATTTTAGACAAGGTGCAGCCGAAGCCAGCAAGCTTAGTCCAACATCTGTAAGTCGATATGCACCTTTCAAGGATATCATAGACAAGGCAGGAAGCCAATTTGGCGACCGAGCCAGCGTGGCATGTAGATTATAGTCTGGCATACAGCTTCCACATAGGTCGAATTGAAACACCTAATAACAGAGAAAAACTACATCAGGTCATCAAGAGGTAAATAAGTCAATGATATTAAGGTCGGAAAGGTCATATGCAGCTGAAAAAAGTATCTGAAAGAGAATGAGAATGTGAAACACTGACTGAAAAGCAATCTCACCATCAACTTGCTGGCATCAAGACCCTCAAATATCTTGGCGAATAGTTCCTCAGTCAACCACGAACAATCCCGTACGCGTACCTCAGTTGGAGAACCATCCACGAGCAGTTCAAGAAACTTACCGTTCATTACCCGACTGTCACAAAGAAACCAACTGATCTTGTGTCTCAACGAGTCGGGAACAAAATCAAGAGAAGTAACAGCATCAGCATTTTTAGAAACAACCGTCAGGCAAAGATCCTGTAAAGACGGGGCCCTCTTCTCGCTTTTGCATGAATCCTGCTTCTTGGGAGTCCAATTAATTTCAACAGCCTCACTTTTATCAGGAACAGCAGACCACACATAAGTTGCACGATCTCTAATAATTTTCATGGCCGTTGAGAAGGGACCCGGCCAATCTTCTACAGGATTTTCTGGCTGATTAGAATTCCCAGCAACATTGGGGGCTTGATTAGGCCCCAGCTCGTCTTGGGAAGAGAAATGGGCAAATCGAGATGCATTTCGCCTGGCGAAATTTCGATGACGTGCTCTATCGTGTCGGCCGTTACGAACAATTCCTGCATTGGGAACATTTCCTGCATTGTTCACGAAATTGAAGGCCTCTCTCGCCTGAGCTTGTTCAGCAGGCAATGCTTCATTGGCTGCCAAGTGGTTGTTGGCACCCGATGCACTGTTTCCTTCTACATTTTCTGTATTGGTTTCAGCTATATTTATGTCAATAGGCGAAGAAGCATTGACTCCCAAATTTGCTTTACCTTTCTCTTCCATGCTTAGTCTCCCTCGTGTCTTAACACCACTCTTGGTCGTGATTCTTAATTTGGCTTTTGGTACCTCCGTGACATCTTCAGTCTCTGATCCAGAACTCGTTGAAGAACCACTCATCTCCAAAGTCTCATCACCAACTTTTCCCTTACCTTTCTGTGCTCGACTAAATCTCGTCTCCTTCTCCTGAGGGCCATTTTCGTCTTCTCCCGCACTTTTCTCTAACTTGGGCATCGACAAGTGGTTGCCACTGCCAACAAGAACACTTTCTTTACTCTTCTCAGTCTTTTCAGCCCGATCAAAACCACTACTATCGTCTTTCACAGCTATATTTATGTCAATAAAAGAAGAAGCATTGACTCCCAATTTTGCTTTATCTTTCTCTTCCTTGCTTAGTCTCCCTCGTGTCTTAACACCACTCTTGGTTGTGATTATTAATTTGGCTTTTGGCACCTCCATCATATCTTCAGTCTCTGAACCAGAACTCATTGAAGAATCACTCGTCTCCAAAGTCTCATCACCAACTTTTCCCTTACCTTTCTGTGCTCGGCTAAATCTTTTCTCCTTTTGAGGGTCATTTTCGTCTTCTCCCGCACCTTTCTCAAACTTAGGCACCGACAGGCAATTACCACTGCCAATAAAAACACTTTCTTTACTCTCCCCAGTCTTTTCTGCCCCATCAGAACCACTACTATCTTCTTTCACATCTATCACAACTCGTTTTCCACACCTAAGGCTCATGACCTTATTGACCAGCTCCACTACTTCGTTCGACACAAAACTAGGCGATTTTGCTTCACTGCTGAGTTTCCTCTTGCGTCCACTGCCACCATTAGCAGTCCCCGCCAATCCCAACCTGGAAACACTCTCGCCCTTCTCGACTTCTTCCTTGACTGCAACAGATTCAGAAGCACCTCCATAACTCCTCAAGTAAAGATCCGGTTCCTGTTTCCCAGAATCCACCTCTTCGAATTTCATCCTTTTCCCACTCGCCACCTCACCACTATCCGACTTTCCTGCCAGCCGAGCACTTCGTCTCCTTGCAGACCCAGTTTCAGAACACACAACTTCCCTCGACCCTAAACCCGATTCCTGACCGGGGCAACCCGAACTCGTTGGAGTAGCCATCATCTCAGATGGGCTCATGAACTCAGAGATTTTGGAAGGGGTTTCCGGCTCGACAACCGCATTTTCACCAGCCGACGGCTTCGAGGTTTGAACACCGACAG